GACGACACGGTCCTAATTGCAGAGAGCGCACAGGATCTCCAGACACTCTTAGATCGCGTCAGATCGATCGGAGAACAATACGGCCTCAGCATTAACGTCAAGAAAACAAAAATAATGATTGTCTCCAAAACACCCATCAATCCACCCATGGCTTTAAACGTGAATGGTAACATTATCGAAAATGTCGAAAAATTTCGATATCTAGGGTGCTGGATAACGAAAGATATAGATCCAGACATAGAAATAAAATCGCGAATTGAACAAGCAAGAAATGTCTTTTTAAAAATGAAACAAATGTTTACGTCCCAAACACTTAATCTCAAAATCCGATACCGAATGCTGAAATGTTACGTTTACAGCACCTTACTATATGGAATGGAGGCCTGGACCTTCAAAATCAACTCACTCAGGCGTTTGGAAAGTTTTGAAATGTGGTTATTTCGAAGGATGCTGAAAGTCCCCTGGACAGCGCATATGAGCAACGAGCAGGTCCTACACAAGATGGGTACCGACAGAGAACTCTTAAAAATAATGAAAACACGGAAAACCTCATATTTGGGACACATATACAGAAATGAGAAAGACCAGCTACTGCAGCTTCTTATAGAGGGAAAGGTTGAAGAACATTCGTGAGTGGACTGGTTGGGATTCTCAATATTTAATAAGAAAAGCCAGGGACAGAAATGATTTTGCTGAGGTTATCGCCAACCTTTATTGAAGACGGCACGCAAAGAAGAAGAAGATTCTGGTTGTTTAGATGAAACGCATATAACTGAACATTTACATCGATACCTAGATATAATTAGAGCATATTTCAGCCCGGATAATAAATCTGAATCAATTTAGAATTCCTCATTCACAACGTTGGCAACATTAGACAAAAACTGTCTATTTAATTTCTGCATTTACTCACCGGAGGGACCGCAGACGTTCGGATACAATTAGCGTCTCTTAGCAAAGGCAATGACGTCGACTTTGCTAAGTATCAAGACAATTACTCTACACACACACTACACACTACACTAGGTACCTGACTGTAAAAATTCACTGTACCATGCCAATGACCATTAGTTGTCGACGCATTAAACTAAATAAAAAAAAAATTTCTGCCTTTAAGTTATCTACTAATTCTACAGACACTCATAATCTTGCTCCTTGTCTTTCTAATAAGGCAATTGTGATTACCTTTATTAAAGAAGCATGTAAGAAAAAAAAGGGTAGGAATGGTGCCAGGCATTTTATTGTCCCAACGCCACAAGGAAGACCCCAAACTGTTTACTGTTTTCTCTTAATATTCAGTATTTTAAAATCTAAACTCTTTTCACGGGCTTTCACATCCAAACATGGGCTTGGTGGCCGGGCCGAGGAAAACAAAATTTATTTTGCCAAATCGGCGGCTGAGTTACCGAGCACACACTCTTTTCCGGACATTTAATCGCCAGCTTAGGCTGGCGGCCCCATGGACGGTACATACGCTCTTTTTTCTTTTTTCTTTTAGGGACTCAAGTCCCGAAGTGATGTAGAGTAAAATTAATCGAGTCAGTAAAGTAAATAGGGAGAAAAGCCTAGATGTGGCTATCCCTACAGATAGGTGGCATAACCACAGTCATTAAAAACAGAAAGTGTCTCATTACCCAAGACACCTTACGTAACTTCCAGATCATAAGCTTCCTCACGTAAGTCACACGCTGAGGAGGGGTGGAGGAAAAGCCTGGGGGTCAGATAGGTACCACTTTAATATTGAAGTGTAATCGGTTTGATCTTCGGACATGTGGATTACACAATTACAATGGTATACACATGTTCCCAGAGGCAGGGTTGATCACCTCGTGTGATTGCGTGTGTATATGTGTGCGTAGCAAGGCTATAAGATAGAGACACTATGGAGCTCACAATAGGGCGTAGAGGTACATCGTCTTTGTGTATTTTCGGTAAGCTATACAAGCGTGGTGGGACTGCTTCGCTGTTGCATATACCTAGCTTTGTATCATCTGGTATGGACGAAGATTTTATAAGTCTATTGATTTTTCGTAGGGTGACTGCTCTAAGATCTTTTTATGTCTTTTATATACCGCAAAATCTAGAAGATTTTATATTTTTGTTTTATAGTCGGTTGTCTTCATTACGATGGTGATGTTTGCCTTGTCTGCTGGTAAAATTACATCTTTGTCTGCGTTTAATGATTTTATTTAGGTTATCAATTGTAGATGTAATTGATTGGATCCTTCGTCGCGTCGCGTGGTGACGGTCAAAATCACTAGTTGTATAATATATAAGAAGCTCTATGAACAATGGTCCAAGCCTTAAAAATCATTCAAAATATATGAAACTCACCTCGTAGATATTATTCAGGTTGATTTTTCTTGCGTTATTTTTTATTTTGAAGGTTGTATTTTTGAACAATAGTCTCTAGCTTTTATTAGGGTTTTATTACGTGTTTTTTTTATTGTGGCAGTTTTAGTGAAAACGGCCGATTAAGGTTTTTATTCGTTTCGACGTGCGCTGTTCGATGGATATTTTTATTGTTTTTGCGTTAAATCTAAAATGAGAGAGGTGCACAAAAAATTTCAAACAAAACATGACTTTTTTGAAACGGCACAAATTGGCAATTTGACGGTTTCGCGGGATTATTTGGTATAACTGTGTTTAAATTTGTTTATTTTTGTTGTGCAGTTTGATTTATTTTACGTAATATTTCCAAATAAATCGGTATAATAAGAGTAATATAAAAATAACAACAACATAAGTATTAGGCAAATACTAGGTAATAAGGGTAGTAACTCAATATCAGGTAAGACTAAAAAATGTTCTTCTCCCAGAGGCTAGAAGCGATATTATAATCAAGAGCGTAGTTAAAGGAAAAATTTGTAAGATAGAGGTAGTTGTAAATTATCTCTCTAATAAAAGACTTGAGCAGATTCCTGAGCTTACCATATACGAAACTTAAACTGATAATACGGAGAAGAAAAACATTATACATATTATACTGGTGACTTTAATGTTAATTTGTTAAATACTGATTGTCCTGATACTTTTTAAAACAATGGAGGTATATTAGGTCATAGGTCAGTTTTCTTCTTAACGTGCCTTAATAAGTCCCCTTGACGTTGGCGATTAACATAGCGAAAATGTCACTGTCTCGAGCTATTGTAAATAGTTGCTCAGCTTTCTTTATTCCTGTCCACTCCCTGATATTCTTCAACCAAGAAGCCTGCTTTCTACCAATTCCTCTGCGTCCTTTGATTTTACCCATCATAATAAGTTGAAGAATATTATATCGGTCTCCCCTTACTACGTGTCCAAAATAAGCCATCTTTCTACATTTGATGTTATCAAGCTGCTTGCGAGCAGCATTTGCTCTCTCAAGGACTGCCACATTTGTCAGCATAGCCGTCCATGGAATTTTTAGTATACGTCTGTGCAGCCACATTTTGTAAAACGTGACCGAAAGTGTAAAACGTGAAGGGAGAATCAAATCTATACGGATGTGGCAAGGCGAATGGAAGACAACTGTAGATATGGCACAGTGGACCAAGTCAATTGTACCAAACGTAAAGACGTGGCTCCAATGTGGACACCGGCGTTTATATTATTTTCTGTCGCAGGTTCTCACGAACCTGCGACAGGAGGTTCCAACCTCCTGTCCTACTGAGTTCCAACAGTATACAAAAAAATGTATACTGTTGGAATGTACAAGATGGAGTATGAAAAGATTTGATAAGAGATAAATGCTTTTTATTTAAAGAAATTGGAGAGTGAAAAAACAGGGTATTTGGGATTAAGAATGATAGGTGTTAGTAAGGATTCTTAAATACAGCGCAACTATCAGAAAATTTAAGTATCCTTACCAACACCTATCATTCTTAATCCCAAATACCCCGTTTATTTTTACCATCCAATTTCTTTAAATAAAAAGCCTTTAGTTCTCGACGTGAAAATCATATTTTTGCAATAAACAAATATTTTATAAATTGTGTTGCTACTATGAATCCTGATTTAACACTTAGCAACTTTTATAAAAATAAATCCATATGGTCAATACAGATTACGTTTGTATACACCTTTGTTTAAGTGCTTTTTATTTTAGCTCATGTTGTTTTTAATATATTTGCCCAAGTTGTTGTTTGTTCTAAAAGCTGGTGTTATTCTTTACTTTTTTATCATAAAATCCACAAGGAAAAATTCCTGTAGCTGGCTGTATACCACGTATAACAAAAAGAGGTTAATCTTTGTAAATGGGTAAATTTTATTAAAAAAACACTTAAAAGGGCCACATCAATAAAACAAACGTTTTCGGACCACACAGTCCATCATCAGGTTAATAAAATCGAAAATGCTAGGTCACAATGCCTGAGCCACCAAAATATTAGGGTAAAAACCCTTTAAATTACATTTAGTTATGAAATATTGTACATTGTGTTATAAAATAACTGTGATGTTCAGTATTAAATTAAATTTGACTGTAGGTAACACATGGTTCAATTGGGTTCCAGAGCCGGTGAGAGGGAACCTCTGCACTCGGAGAACAACGTGGAACTTCAGTTTTTTTTTTTTTTATCATACTTTATTTATATGTCTAAAATACAACTTTGAGGCAGGTTTAAATATCATTAAGCAAATAGCAGAAAACAATGAGTACAACGAACAAACAATTAGTAAAATTTTAAATCAAAAACTACATAGGAAAGCCCTGAAGTTATTGTTTTTACCACGAGAGACCAAAAATAGATCACTTGAGAAAGGTACTCTGCCGAAACAGCTCTTGTATATAATAAATTTTGTGGAAGTTTTAAAATTAAAATTATTATTGTTTTTTTGTTTGTAATAAATGAATTTCAATCAAGTAACGGTCGAATCCATCGCTATTAATAAATTATTCAGTATCATTACGTACATTAACAATATTATTCTAATATTGTATGTTAGCCTATTTATTCTACCTAATCTAGATAAAATGTTGCCTGAGATAATTTAAAATTGAGTTTGACAAATCGACTTACGAATAATTCGAGTCCCCCGGCGATGATCGCCAACAAACTGCACGTCAGAATAGCGATCGAAAACTGCGAAGCCATTACTAAAAAAGACTGATCGCTACACTTAGCCAGTAATGTGTTTCGCGTCAAAAACATTTTCGCTAATGATTATTATCCGACCGATAAAAATCTGGTCAGATGTAATTGTGCGTAACAATGTAAATGTTATCTGGGCATTGTGTGGAAAAAGCTGGCGATTCGAAAAGCTTCCATTAATCGTCCGGGTTTGTTTCTATTGTGTGCTCATTTATAAAATTGACTGCGATGCCCAGAAGATAGATTAGTGAAAATAAACACAAAATTTATATTGCAGCTTTTGTAATGGATGCGGATGGGCGGCCGAAATAGGACGAATATTAATTTTCGGATATGATGTAGACGCAACGATGCAGAAGCTTCCATTCCTCTCAAAAACAATATTATTAATCATTTTACGCAATATTTACTACTATATAAAATAAAAAAACTGAATATATTTCATTAAATACGTTATTATGTCATATAATAGATGTGGGGGAAAGGGGGGTAAGTTGGCGAACTTAAGGCTTATATCCAAATTACTCTTCTTTTTCCACATTAAAAATATTTATATATTGATATTTTGAACACTACTACAGTCACACTAATCAACCTACAAAATATCATAGCTATAGCTAATCACATTTTTGTCCTATATATTTTTTTAAATATGCAATCTTCGTCATTTTACCCACAAGCATTGATAAGTTGACGAACTGTATCGGGTATGTTGACGAAAGAAAAATATTTAATCGAAAAGTATACCTTTAAATCAAAAAATAAATTCTAACATAAAAAATGTAAAAGATATAAATGAAAAAGTTCTTTAATTAATTACTAAACAGTTACAAGCTAGTAAAAACAGTTTTTTTTTCTAAGTCTAATTGTAACAATGTAACGAAAATATTTTCCTGCAATAGGGTAAGATTATCATCATCATCATCTTGGTGCTACAGCCCTTAGAGGGCCTCGACCTTCTCAAGCTTTCTACGCCATTCTGTTCTGTCCCTTGCTTGAATTTTCCAGTTGCCGACTCCGATCTTCTCCGCATCTTGTGTTACCCCATCCATCCACCTCAGCTTTGGTCTACCCCGTCGTCTCATTCCCACAGGTTGCGCTGTTAGAATCTTTTTTATCATGTTCGATTCAGGGGCCCGGGCTACATGTCCTGCCCACTGCAGGCGGTTTCGCTTAATTATAGTGGTAATATCTTTACCACCAAACGTATGCTTGTAGATATTCTGCAGTTCGAAGTTATATCTACGCCTCCATATTCCGTTCTCACAGACCGCTCCAAATATCTTGCGTAGCACCTTTCTTTCAAAAATGGATAGAGCGGATTCATCTGTTTTCGTTAGCGTCCATGCCTCTGATCCGTATGTGAGAACGGGGACTATCAGTGTTCTATACAGCCTTATACGAGTTTTTTGAGACAGACGTTTGTTAGCTAAGTACTTTGATAGACCATAATAACACCTGTTTGCAATTATTATTCGCCTTTTTATTTCCTCAGATGTATTATTATTGGGGTTAACCGATGTCCCTAGATATATGAACTCATTGACTGCTTCGAAGTTTATGGGGGTAGAAAAGGGTAAGATTATGGGGGTAGAAAATTGGGGATACAAACTAAGGGGGTTTAAATAGGGCTAGCAAAATAATCGATACTGATGCGTACGGCACTCAGGGGTTAATTGGAGAGCTGGGTCGTGAATAAGTTAAATAAAAAAAGGGGTCGGATTTGGGCAACTACCAAAAAAATGAAACAAAGGGGTACTTACATAAATTTCTTGGGCAACTAGTCAAATAAGACAATAAAAAAGGGCTTCTAGAAAGGCTCTTTTTTCCTAAAAAATAAGCACAAAGAAAGGTTAGGAGATTTTTCTAAAATAAACAAAATAGTTGGAGAAATAACTCAAACATTTATTACTGTCAGCACAAACAGCTACAAAATATAAGATGATGCAAAATATAAAGACTATATTAATAGCCACAAACGTAGATATAAAAATCGTCATCAGTTGGCGCTACAGCCCTTCGTGAGCCTAAGCCTGCTTCAAAACATTCTTCCATCCTTCTCTATTAAGTGTCTGTCTTCTCCAGCCCCTCACTTCAATCTCCCTCAGATCTTCCTGTACATCGTCCAGATATCTGAGTTTAGATCGCCCCCTTCTTCTTCTTCTGACCGGCCTGTTTAGCATAGATATTTTAGTGGGATCACTCTCGTCCATCCGCATAACGTGGCCCACCTACCTTAGGCGGTTTATTTTGATGGTCTTTACAATATCTGCATCACCAAAAAGTCTATAGAGTTCAAAGTTATATCGCCTTCTCCACAGACCCTGTTCGTTTACTCCGCCATATATGGTCCTCAATACTTTTCTTTCAAAGACTCGTAGTAACTCTTCATCTCGGGTCGTCATTGCCCATGTTTTCGATCCGTATGTGAGCACTGGGCGTATTAATGTTTTATAAAGTTTGCACTTTGTTGCTATTGACATACTTCTTGCTCATAGTTAAGGGCCCAGGCCAAAATAACAGCGGTTATCCACGCATATTCTTTTTTTTATCTCGTTAGTTGTGTTCTTTTTGTAATCTATCATTGATCCTAAGTTGCAGAATTCTTCTACCATTTCTATCGTTTCGTGTTGCACCTCTAAGTTATTTTGTTGAATTCTTGATATGGCCGGCATATATTTAGTTTTCTGGATGTTAATCAGAAGTCCGATGTTTTCTACGGCATTTTTGATACGTGTGAAAGCGTCCACTGCTTCATTTTCGGTTCGTCCATTTATGACGATATCATCAGCGTATGCCATTATTTGTATACTACGGGTATATATCGTACCTTTTAAGTTTATTCCCGAATCTCTCATAACTTTTTCTAACGCTAGGTTGAACAGCATGCACGATAGCGCATCTCCCTGGCGCAGTTCTCTGTTGGTTTTAAATGGTTTTGAAACATCCCCTTATACGCGCACTTTACATTAGTTTTAAATATTTTTACCAAACATTTTGGTATTCCTAATTCGATCATCGCCGAATATAATTGGGGCCTGTCAATAGTATCGTACGCTGCCTTAAAGTCTACGAAGATGTAATGGCAGATATAGAAATAAACAAAGAATGTGTCCTGTTTTTGTTTTCAAGAGGACATTGCTACACAACTTACAAATGTTATTGGGCTATAACTGTGTCAAATAAAAAATTATTACAGATAACGAATTTTCTTTTTATTAAAACTATTTATAAAGAAATAAACCTTCTTTAAAAAATCAAAATAAACTATTGTCAAAAAATAATAAGGCTAGATGCCAGCTGTCATATGCCAACACAACATTTTAAAACAGAGAATAATTATGACATTTCTAGCCACGCCCTAATACATATCATTTTAATTATTACAGATTCTTAAATCGTCATGAAAACAATTATTATTATTAAAAAAATGTCTATCTTACTTAGAAAATTAAACACAAAATATTACCTGGGTTTTCTCATAAAATTTTACACTCAAACTTCTGGAATTTTTGCTAACATCTTTGGGGTTGAACTATCTGGACACAATCAAAGAAAAACTACATCCATTGGAGGTTAAAACTGACACATTCAAATACAAAACTGCTTCAGGAACATACTAAATGAGGTGAGGAGGCATTTACACAAACCTTGGAAAAATGGAATTTCTTTAAAAAACGGTAACCAAACTTGTTCACTTGTTAAACATTGATATAAATCTTCAGAACACCGAAGCAGTGGTCACTCTTTTAAATATGACATAATGCATAGAGTGAAAATTTCCCTATTTTTGGCGAATTAATGCCGGATCACCGTCTCGTTCAAGCAGCTCTTCAAGCCCTGACGCTCCCTTTCTCCTCGCATACCTTACATTCGATGAATCAACAAATTCTTTAACTTAAGCTCGTAAAACTATGGATTACTTCCGGTACTACGATTTACGAATTGTGAAATTTAACCTTGAAACATTTCCAGTGTAAAATCTAACATATACCAATAAATAAATGCTTTCTTGGGGATTTTTAATGCGTAAAAAACGACAAAAATATTTATATAAAGCTCAGGGACGTACTACAAAATTTTATACATAAATATTTCATAGTTAAAAGAGATTTAAAATGCTACAAAAGTAACTAAACTCAAAATCCAACAGGTGAATACGGTGATTGAAATTTATATCTAATTGATTAATGAAATGTATCTGTACAATTAAAATTAAACTATAAATTTGAATCCTATTTATAATTCTCTCCTTCCTTCCGCCTTATTTGTTTTTACCTTCTAAACCTTGACATTATCTACCTAATTCAGTCAGAAAGTGATCACTTCTTGATCCTGATGGTTAGCATAATAAAATATGGCCTATCGATCCTATTCACTTTTTAAGCAAAAGTGAATAAGAAATTTGAAATGGATTCGCACAAGCAACACATTCATGATTTTACGTAGTATTCTTAAAGATGCATCATCAAGAAGGTTAAGAAATTTAGACTGTACTCCATCTGGTCCTGGCGCTCTTCCTTCTTTAAGTGATATTATGGCTGCTTTTATTTCTTCCACTATTATAGGTAGCCATTTTTCCGTAGGTATTGGGGACTGGTTCATTTTATCATCAAAAAATAAATTTCGTTTTTATTTAGTTTTTTATTAATCTTGTCAATTTGATCTTAATTATTATGTGAAGAATCAGGTTCGAACTTATCCGCTAAGACCTCTCGGAATTGCTCTTAATTTGTTTTTAGTTTAAAGGCATCTATCCTCGTTGTTTTTTTTATAAATTTTTTTCTCTCTTCTTTCATGTTAATATTTACTTTTGCTTTAACTATACGATGGTCACTACTCGTTGTTACGTTGTTTATTGTTGTGAAGTCTTCAAATATTGCTTTGTTGTTTGAGAGAAAATAGTCTATTTCATTATTGGTAGTTCCGTTAAGTTCGACCCATGTACAATTTTTGTTAGGTTTCTTTTTGTAGAAGGTATTCATAACATACATGTTTTCTTGTTCCAGGAATTCCATGAGTTTGTCTCCTCTTGTGTTTCTTGTGCCGAATCCAAAATT